AAATGCAGATAGGTCTCTTGTGATACAATAGTGAATAATTGTTATCAGGACTGATTGTGAGGGTTGGAAATGTAAAGGTAGACATTTTATAGCAAGGAGGGGAGTGATTAACATTTCAGGTTGGAAATGTAAAGGTAGACATTTTATAGCAAGGAGGGGAGTGATTAACATTTCAGTCTAAGAGTAGAGGTTCCTGGGACCGTCAATGGAGAGGAGCGGAGAGCGGGACCCTACCCAGAGAAGCAGTGACGCCAGAGATGGAGGCAGAGACGTGGAGAGATGATGGAGCAGCTGGAGACTTTAGATCCAGAGAGGGAGAGGGGCTGTGTGCTGATAACTGGGGTGTAGGCTTGTAGGTATACCCTTTGGCTGGTTGATGAGGCATGGAGGGAATTGTAACCATGGCAATGAAATGATATACAATAGAATGAATGTAAAACCAATGTAAACTATCACAAACTCACAAGAAAACATTAAAAAAAAAAAAGTTTCACAGCCAATCAATGCCTAATGCTAAAAACCATCCAGACAGCAATTTTAGATGCAAACAATGTCTGGAAACCAAAGGACAAATACCATGACCACAGGAGAAATCAAAGCACATTGTGGTATACATATCAGAGATGCTAAAATGAATTCAATTCATTCTATTGACAAGAAGGGATTGGCTAGTTAACCGTTATAGCGAATATTTGAAATAAAGCAGCTCAAACTGACCTTACAGTAGAGTGCTTATCCTAAAGCATCACATCAGGGCATTCTTATCTTAGCCATCTAAATATTTTTTGTTTTCAAAGGAAAAGGCTACTCAATATTTTTAGAACAGTGGCTTCCAAACTTCAACAGGTATAAATAGCACCAGGGATTAAAAGGCTCTCTCTTGTGTATAAATACTCTGAGAGAGTGATAGGGGAAGAGGGGAAACTGACGAATTTAACAAGCAGCCCAGGAAATTACAAGGCAGGCGGCCCACAGACCACTCTGAAAAGACCTCTAGTCCAGAAAATTAAAGTGAGCTATATACACCCAATCCTCCTAGTCAATTCGACTCTATACCCCAAATGGCCTAGAGGCTTAGCTCTTGAGATATGATTGAAATGATCTAGAGGCTTAGGTACCCCCACGAGATATGAATGAACCAAGTTACAGAAAAATTGGTATGCAAAAAAACCCAAAATCCATGCTCATCCTCTCATCACCCTGCCAAGCCTCGGGTTAGCATTTTGTTTCCTTCAGGCTCTTCTAACTCTTGGTTTAGAGTGTCTGTTCCTTTTCTTTTCACAGTCGAAACCAGAGTTTCAAATGTCAGTGATGTTAACATTTTCCATGTTATTATAACCTAGTCTTACTAACGATCATATTTTGTGGCTACATTACATTCTACCAAGTAAACTTATAGTTTACCTAACCATTTCACTAGGTCCTCATTACTACAAATAAGACAGCTGTAAGTATTTCTGTATGCATCATGTTTTCAGTAGTGGAATATTTCCTAAATGTGTGTCTGGCGGGTGGGGATATTGTAGAGATACAAACTGTTTTCCATAGGTTTTATAACTAACCTCTGTGGTAAAACTTTAGCATCACACTATCTTTGTTAGCACCATTGTTGTTGTTGTTAAGTGCCGTCGAGTCGGTTCCGACCCATAGCGACCCTGTACAGGGTTTCCAAGGGTGTAAATCCTTACGGGAGTAGAAAGCCTCATCTTTCTCCCGCGGAGCAGCTGGTAGTTTAGAACCGCTGACCTTAAGGTTCGCAGCCCGATTCGTAACCACTACGCTGCCAGAGCTCCTTGTTAACACCATAGTATCATTTAATAATGATGTTATATTTTTCCTATTTTAAAGGCATTATCTTAAATTTCTTTTGGTTAATGGGAAGCTAGCACTATGCTTTTAAGACGTGTATTTCTTTCATTACTAATGAGGTTCAACATTCTCTTTACTAGTAGCATTGTTTTCTTTTTCTAAACTATCCATCCTGCCCTTTAGCCAATTAATGGGCTCTCAAGGAGCTCTGGTAGCAGTGGTTATGAGACGGGCTGCTAACGTCAAGGTCGGCAGTTCAAAACTACCAGCTGTTCCTCAGGAGAAAGATGAGGCTTTCTGCTCCTGCAAAGATTTACAGTCTCGGAAACCCTGTGCAGGGTCACTATGGGTCGGAACCGACTCCACAGTACTTAACAACAGCAACAATGGGCTCTCAGTACGCATGAGAGGAGTGGTTACGAATCGGGTTGCTAACCTCAAGGTCAGCAGTTCGAAACTATACCCTCAAGGTCAGCAGTTCAAAACTACCAGCAGTTCCGCGGGAGAAAGATGAGGCTTTCTGCTCCTGTAAAGATTTACAGCCTCGGAAACCCCATGCAGGGTCGCTGAGTCGGAACCGACTCCACGGCACATAACCACGAGTATGCATGAGTTAGTTGTGGCCCTATATGGCCAATCTGCTCTGTCCCACTGACCTGCTTGTTTTTAATGCCACCCAAGAGTCTATACAGGGTCGCTATGGATCGGAATCGACTCGACGGCACTTACCACAACAAAAGTCTGCTATTTCAACATTGGCACATTCTACGTAGACAGCTAAAAACATACTATCTACTGACATCGGGCAACTCAGACTCATAGCACCCCTGTCGCCATAGGGTTTCCCCAAGACTGTAAATCTTTAGAGGAGCAAACAGTTTCAGCTTTCTCCAATAGAGAGACTGGGTTTGAACTGCCAACCGTGCGGTTAGCAGCCCAATGTCTAGCCCACAGAGTCACGAGGGACCCTTTAAAAACAAACAAGCATAATGAAAAGCATCTGATCCTCAGTGAAAAAGACCTGCCTCAGCTGGGTTACATCAGGCAAGTTACTAGATCTTTCCAGCCTCAATCTTATCTGCAAAATATCTACACCTCCCAACAGGTCTGTTGTGATTAAAAGCCCCTTAAGCTAAACACTAAGGAGCTCTGGTAGCGTAGTGGTTACGAATCGGGCTGCTAACCTCAAGGTCGGCAGTTCGAAACTACCAGAAGTTCTGCGGGAGAACGATGAGGGGTTCTGCTCCTGTAAAGATTTACAGCCTTGGAAACCCTGTGCAGGGTCACTATGAGTCGGAACCGACTCCACGGTACTTAACAACAACAAGATAAACACACTGGACTGCTAACCGCAAGATCAGCGGCTCAAACTCACCAGCCGCTCCGTGGAAACCCTATACAGGGTCGCTGTGAGTCAGAACTGATGCCATGACACCTAACAACAACGCCAGATATGAGCTCCCTTGACCTGGCTACGTTTCCTTCTGTTATACGTAAGGACGTCATTACACAGACTCCACAACAACTAAATAAGTAAATCAGAAGTCTGTTACTATCCTCAAATAATTAAAATAAGAAGAAGAAACAAAGAAACCGCCACTAACACTAATGACAGGATTCGTTTTTACACAAAACTGTAACGCTGTCAGTAGGTACACAATTCACGTTCGTAGGATCTTTGCGGCAAATACGCCAAAGAAAAGGGAGTCCGAGATTTTTAGTAACAACAACAATAAAGACATCAATCCTGCACAGCTTTTCAACTATTCCTCTCGGCCTAAGGGGGGGAGGGGGGAAACCCCTGCAAAGGTCGTTTTCTTCCCGATTTAGGGGGCAGTCAGGACGAGCGTGCTCTAATTCCCACTGTGGGAAGGAAGTCTGTGCTCCTCGGTGGATCAGACATCGACAATAACAAGCAGCCAGCCTTAGATTCCGACTTGGCCCTTGCGGAGCATCACTAGATCGAGAGGAAGGCGCGCCTGGCCCAAGGTCACCAGGGAGTCCGGGGCTGACCGGCCACTCGGCCGACCGCGCTGCCCGCCGCTCGCCTCACCTCAGCAACGCCAGGAAAGCGGCAGGCTCCACGTCCGGCAGCTCGATCTCGGCCGACGTGGTGGCCATGCCGCCGTTGAACATGGCGTCAAAGACCGCACTGCCCGCCGCCAGCACGAAGCGGTGGGCGGGGATGCGCTGCGGACCCCCGGCAGCGGCGGTGGCGGCGGCGCCGCGACCCTTTCCCAGCACGAAGCGCACATCGCTCAGCAGCTCCGAGTTGAAGAGGAAAGCGAAGCGCTCCTTCAGCGACGCCTTGGTCGCCTGCCAATTGTACAGCGGCTCCCGCTGCAGGGGGAGCAGGGCCCCCAAAGGAGAAGGCGGCGACCCCGCGGGGCCCGGCTCCGCCTCTGCCCCAGCGCCCGAAGTCTGCTCCCCCGAAGCGGCCGGCCCGACCGAGGCCATTGTCTAGCGGCACGGCTCCCAAGCTAAGAGCGCTCTCGCGGCCCAGCAGCCATTGCCAAGGCCGCCCGCGGAGGCCAGCACCGCCTCCCTGCCTTCCGGGAAAGGCGCTTCCGGAGGCCGCTTGCCCCTCAGGCTCTCCCCGCCCCTCCCTGCCCGCAGCGGCGCGGCTCGCCTTCACAACAGGAGGCGCGCCCCCGCCGGGCGGGGATTCCGGGGCGCGTGCCAGGGCTCCCGAGCTGGGGCGGGACGCGACGTTGCAGGCCTGCGCTCCCAAATTAGAGCCAATGTTGACTGAGTGGGGACCATGTTTCCAGGAGCCTCCGTAGATCTGCGGCTCAGTTGCCTTATCTTGCCTTCTTTCTGCCCTTGTGCCCCTTATCATCAGTTCCAGCAGCCCTATATAGTCCTAGGGCAGTTCCCCAGACCTGGTCCTTCGAGGGGCTTCCTACATGGCCAAGGGAGCATGCGGGAGAGGGAATGATACCATTCCTGACAGCCCTCATCTTAGTCTTGTCCAAGTCATCACTTCAGATGGTCATCTCTCCTGTGGTAGGTAATTCAGGAGCAGAGCTGGAGGCTTGGAAACCTCTCCCAGGTCTGTAGGTCCCTTCCCCTTCAAACTGCCCTCTGGTGATGGCCTCTGAACCTATGAGACGCTTGCCCTTTGTCACGGGGTCCTCATGCCCCATTTAGGAGCCTGTTGCTTCATCTCTGTTCTTAAAATCTCCCCACCCCCCCCAACACACACACCTTGCTTACCTTCTAGCACTTGTTTTTAGCCCCTTACCTTACGCTGAAAGAAAGGAGCTCTGGTAGTGTAGTGGTTACAAATCGGGCTGC